TCGTACGACAAATGTGTATAGAACAGAGAGGTCCTCGGATCTCTCTATTTCATAGCCAATCAACAGGCTTGAAAAATTTGTCGTACGACAAAAACGCACAAATGAAATATCACCCACAGACTGTGTAACTATTGTAGATGAGACTTAACACTCAACATGATAGAAGAGTGAAAATAGGAATTAGACTAAACTTTAATCTGCGATTTAAATTGACAAGTAAATGTTCTTATTATTTTGTTAACATAAGATAAAATTATTATTTTTTTAATTTAATATATTGCAAAAGGGGGTTAGATCACAAGGACAATGAGAAATTTTCCTGATTTAATTATTAATTATTAACTAATTTATAAATTAAGTTATTTAATTTAATCGAAGTCGCTCCAGTAAAATCATATTCTATAACATAAATAATGATAAATTAAATGTATATTATGTAATTTACATTATTTAGTTAATTATGATGTTTGTATAATTGTTTCAGGGATCTGTAATAACGTTTATGATGTTACTAGATGCTATTCGCTGTGCGCTGATAACGTGATAACAATTGTAGAATAAGGATAGTCTTTCAGTACTGCCAGCAGTGCCAGCACTCTTAAAGTTCCAGTCCCAATACTAGCAGTTTGTGTTGGAACATAGCCTATATCGGAACTCACGGGGCGACAATGAGCGACAAGATGGCACGTCAGCAGGACTTTAACGATCTGTTCAACGTGAAAAATAATTTCTACATCGGCAATTATCAGCAATGCATCAACGAGGCGCAGAAGATCAAGGTAAAGTTATCCCATTCCGACTGTGACATCTTGCAGACGTGATGCCACGCGCTGCATGCTTCGTTTAAATTCCCAAACGTGGGCGGCTGTCATCACCATTCTAACAAATGCTCTTTCGTCTCATTGATGTTTTTCTGATATAACTTTTCCAAATTCAAAATGATATATGTTACACAACCTTTCATGTTGTATTCTATTTTATTATTATATTAAAAATTAAATAGAACTTCGACTTGGTAATGCCACTGTCAAAATATTAAAATTCCAGATACATATTCAGACAAGTACTCTTTTTAAGCAAGTCTTTGCACAATCTGGCAAATATGAATCTACATACAAAAGTATGATAATTTTATAATATATCTTTCATACCATGTTTTAATAATGTATTGTCTAATTTACAAAATAAACTTTGCTAGACAAAATGCATGTTTAAAAGATATCTAAAAGACATTACGAAGAGTTTTTCTAGACAAGGCGTGTTGTCTGGATTATTTCGCAATTATACAAATATTATACAAATATTATAAATTTCATTTCTGTTACAGACATCCGTTCCAGAAGTGATTATGGAACGTAATGTCTTCCTTTATCGCGCATACATAGCGCAAAGGAAGTTTCGTGTGGTGCTAGACGAGATTGACATTTCGTCCCCACCAGAATTGCAGCCACTAAAGACCTTAGCTGACTATTTCGCCAATCCACATCACCGAGAGGCTATAGTGGCCGAATTGGATAAAGAAACCAAGAATGTAAATTATGATAACCATATTCTGCTGATTGTGGCCGCGACCATTTACTATCACGAGAAGAATCTGGAGGCAGCTCACCGAGTAATATGCGCCTCCGACAATCTGGAGTGCATGGCGCTAACATTACAGATATATCTCAAGATGGATCGTCTGGATCTGGCTCGCAAAGAACTGAAGGCGATGCAGGAGAAGGATGACGACGATACCTTAACTCAGCTTGCTCAGGCATGGATTAACATTAGCAGCGGTGGTGACAAGCTGCAAGATGCTTATTACATCTTTCAGGTGAGGGAAGACGAACTATCGATTCTTTGGGAATTATAATGCGAATATTTTATATTTGAAATTATATATGCTTTATCTAAAATTATTCAATTGTAAACTATTTTAGGAAATGATTGACAAGCATTCTAGTACAAGTATGTTGCTGAATGGTCAGGCCACTTGCTTCATTGGACAAGCGAAGTATGAAGAGGCAGAAATGGCTTTGCAAGAAGCTCTCGATAAAGATAGTAATAATCCAGATACATTAATCAATATGATTGTGCTCTCGCAGCATATGGGCAAACCGCCTGAAGTGGCGAATCGTTATTTAAGTCAGTTGAAAGATTCTCATTTAGAACATCCTTTCGTCAAGGAGTACTTGCAGAAGGAAATCGAATTCCATAGGCTTAAAGAACAGTATTCAGCTTCCGCCTGAGTACCCCTCAGCAGATTATGGCATTCCGTGGGATAAAATCGATCAAGTATTGACTACGAATGGACCCAAGCGTGGAATAATAAGTTGACTTTATTGAAGGTGTCCAATGAGTAAAGCTTCTTCTCTCTTCTTGGAAAACTTTTCTTCTCTGAAGCTGAAATGTTCAGATATATCTCCAATATCTTACGGTGCAATTCAAATCTTTAATTATTAAAAAATATACATTTTTTAATTGTTTTATTTTTGTTGAGAGTGATTCGAAGCCTGTCCATATAATATTAACTCTTAGGCTTTCGAAAATACAGTTCTAGGATGTTATGTAATATCATATATTGGGATGTTCCAACCTTCTAGGTATCTCTCGCGAGATAGAAAACGCGCAATTTTCCGAAATAGAGACATTTCATTCGTAGGTGAACATATTGCTCTGCAGTATTGAGACATTTTGTTTTTATATTAAACTAAATATATATGCTAGCAAAAAATAGATAGGTATAGCAAAATTGTATGGATAATGGAAACGTTCGAAATTGCAAAAACCGAGATGTATGTGACTGGAAAAGTCGCTATCCATTTTATCCTAATGTTACACTTTCACTACATAATCATGAAAATATGGCTGCCATTTTATAAAATTATAAATTATTATCGAAATTATAGACCATTTTGCATGTAAGCATCTCTTCATACAATATTCATATTGCCAATTTAGATGTAATAGATAGGCGAAATATTAAAATAAAATATTTCGTACACACATTATGAATATGCAAAAGCCGAGAAATGTCTTTTTTAATTTCCACAAATTGCCCCTTAATGTTTGTAAATATCTTTATTATAAAAATAACTTATTATAATAAAAACTTATAAAAATAAAGTCTTACATCCGTAAATTGTATACTTGTATAAAACCTAGCTCAGTCAATCTTCCCCTTAATTTTTTATAACAGATCTTTAAATTCATCTCATACGTGCAAATAAAGTTTTTAAAGCTTGATTTAGAATTCATCAAATATGTAATGCAAATAATTTTACGTTTGAAATTTTAACGTAAGTCATTAATTTTGAGAGCGATTCGTAAGTTAAAATTAAAAAATAAATTTGAAGGGGACATGGAATTTTAAAAAATTTCAAAATTAATGGATCAATTCTAAGTAAAATTATAAGGCTCATAATTTGCTCTCATATGATATATAAGAACTTAAGATAGATGTTCTATAATTTTATGCGTATATATATCGCAAGATATTCGATTATTCGTAAATATCTAACGAATCTTACGGCTAGCAAAAAGCTATCTATAAAGATACCGTATAAAGTTCTTACAAGTGTTACGAGAATATGTTACGAGTCTTACGATTCTGTTTAGAATTTAGGCATAAAAAAAGACTAACGCTTCTTATAAAATTTTCAAGATTAATGGCATAAATAATCCACAAGTAGACATATATAAAATAATTTAATCTTTTTATTGGTGGCGGTGGGTTTCAAAAAATCGTATTGTATATAACAGAGCACGCTGATTTCACAACAGGATAA